TGAAGAAAGGTAAAATGATGAGATCTGGGACAAAATGGGTGGACCGCAAGATGATTATGTTGAATGAAATAAGTCAAAAAGTGAAAGACAGATATCACATGGTTTCACTCATCGGTAGGATATGTATACCAAAAGAATCCATTTATATGCAAAGAATAAATCTTGAACTCAGCAAAAAGAATAAATGGTTACCAGTGGGAAAGGGAGGTGGATGGGGTATGGACATGGGTGGTTTGGTGGAGAGTGAAAAAATAGAAGAAGAGATTGAAACAAATACTTTGTGATGAAAGTTAAGTTCCAATTTTAGCATCTACCAATAAAGTCTTAATGAACATACCATGCTAATTTCATTTGTGTATTTATTGTCTGGCTGCTGTCGTTTTGCATTTGCAGAACCAACAGGCCTAAAGTACTCCCTTTGTCAAGTTGTTTACTGGCCACACTGTAGAGGAAGGACTGAGTAGACATTGGAACTGAGCTGCAGTCTGAAACTGCATCACCAGGACTCACTTTCCTGACTAGCGACTTGATCTTTCTTTGTGTCTTGATTCAGGGAGACTGCCAGTTCTGTCCTGGCAGTAAGCTGGGGCAATCATAGTTTTTAATCTCACTCTCCATCTTATGGACTGCTGTTCTGCGTGGTCTGATATCCAGTATCTGAAAGCTACTGTTTCACATGTATTCTCTGATTTTACATTTCAGTTTGAAAGGGCAAATCAGATCCTGTGATATCATCTTGACTGGAAGCAGAATCTCTGAAATTCTCATTTTTTCTCGGTATATCTGTGTGTTGGACATACATACGTCCTACAGATAACATGGCTTTAACGTGTGCTTATGACTTGATTAGTCAGGGTGAGAAACGTTGGCAGTGCCCACATACTCTCATCAGTCAACCAACTCATTCTGTAGCTCAAACCAGCTTCCCAAGCTTTCCTCAACCCTTTCCCTTAAGTGTTTCTGCATTTCTTAGTCTTAAACTTTTTTACATACTTAGAATTTTCTAACAAAGTTTCAAGTTAATGAGTATCCATCTCACATCAGGAACCTTCTCTTTTCTAAACCTTCACTTTCATCTCTTCTCACTAGCATCTAGAGTGTTAGTTTTAACTTGGTATAGTTGTACGTATATATTTTGTATTCAGTTTTTTTCTTTGGAACTGAACTACTTGGGTTTGAGTTCCATATCTGCTCTTTATTAGCTGAACATAGGTAAGTGATTTGGCATCTGTGTGCTTCATATTCCTCATTTGAAAAAACGGGGGAATAATTGTACCATACAGGAATTGTATAGTCTTCAATAAAGTAAATTCCATAATACTTATCACAAAGGATTCAATTACTGGATTCTCATATAAAGCATTTAGAATAGTTTTTGATACATAATAAACACTAAGTAAATGTTGGTTATTAATACTGCTAGGATTATTACTGTACTAGTTTATATTTCATCTTCCTCAAGCACATGTTTTAATAGTCTTTTAGGCAGGCTGTGGGTAGTATATACTAAAACATAGTAATAGTTAAACTAGATACAGTATTCTAGGTTTCAGTGTTGAAGATAGTACTTCATTTTCTTCTAATCTATTGGTTATTTTTTGTAAGTACTTAGTATGTTCTCTTGACTAGCGTTTTAGATTATCATCTTCATATTTCAAAATTTTTTTACAATGTGCCTAAGAGTCGGTGGTTCAAAGTTTATTTTATTAACACTTGGAATTTTTCAGTTATAGAGTTCATCTCTAACTGAAATTAGATCTAATGTTTTCAAAGACTTTTCTCCCCTCCCTCTCAGTCTGAATCTGCTAGATACAGTGTTTCATCAAATGTCATCCATTTTTCTATTTCTATTCTTCTATTTCTTTAAAAATTTTCTAATTTGGGGGGCCTCCCCTGCTGGTGCAGTGGTTGAGCGCTGGGCTGAGAGGCTGCCCACAGCCTCTGCAGCGCCGGTTCGTTCCCTGGCCACCGGTGAGGGTCCCACCAAAAAAAAAAAAAAAAATTTCTATTTGGGAATTGATTTCTGAGAGACTTTAATTCTTTAAAATATTTTATTTTTCGTTTTGCTTCTAGCTTAGTATTTACTGTATCTTTTGAGCTTTTAAATAGATGGGTAGTTTTTACTACGTAGAGTTCTAATTGGCTTTTTAATATCCATCTTTTTATGCCCATCTGTTTCATAAATGCTATTCCTTTTATATCTTGGATCTTTTAAATTGATTTAGAGTCCTTTTCGGACTCCTGTTTTAGCTGTATCTTCTCAGTTTTGAATTTCCACCCTCTACACAAACTGTTGTTTTTTTTTTTAACCATTTATGGTGGCATTGAACTAGTTTGTGGACTTTGTGATATATTTTTGAATGTTCATGTTGCATGGAAACTTTCCCTTGGCAATTTCCACTAGTACGTCACACCCTGGAAAGATAATGTAATTTCAGAAACTGAGATCACCTGAGATACATACTTAGGTTCTAAATTGCTTTAACTATTAGGCCATTTTTCAATATAATTGCACATTTCCAGTGTTACCTACTTATTTCAGTGATTTACCTTAGTTGGCAAAAGTATACCTGGTCATTTCAGTTTCTGTTTTTCTTAGTGATAGAGTGAAGTTTTCCTATAAAGACATTCCTGACTTACAATGATTCAACTTATAGTTTCACCTTTATAATGGCACAAAAGTGATAAATTCAACCATACTTTGAATTTTGAGTTTTGATCTTTCTTGGGGTTGGTAGTATGTGGTACATACTCTCTTGGATCCCTGACAACTGCAGTGCCCTCTCAACCATGCAATTACAAGAGTAAATAACTCCAAAGTGCACATTACTCAGAAATTACGTGAGAGATCTTTATTATAAAATAAGCCTTGTGTTATATGATCTTTCCCAAACTAAGCTAATGAAGTGTTCTGAGCACGGTTACGGTAGACTAGGCTAAGCTGAGATGTTCTCTGAGTTAGGTGTAGTAAAAGCATTTTCAAATTATGGTGAATTTATCAGGTTTTAACTGTCAGGAAGATCTGTAGAAGATTGCTGGGTTGAATTTCTTTTCTTTTTTTTTTTTTTTTTTTTTAGTAACACCTCAGTTTTTATGCAATTATAATTACCTAATTAGATTATCCATATGACTCCCTAAACAGCATTTGTCGTTTTTTGAAAGTCAGATGTAGACCTAGGGGAGAATGATATTTAAAAGCCCCTGCTTTGGAATTTTGCTACCTCTTACTCAAATTCAGCCTGTTTTTTAAATACCTTCTGTGTCTACTATGCGTTAAGAAGTGAGGCTGCACAATTGTAGTTCTGAACCATTACTGAAACTGAGTGTTGTAGTTGTTACTGCTTTCTAACAAACTTTACCGAATTTATAGATGTGGAATAACTATTTTGCCACAATAATACTTGTTGATCCTATGGTCAGTTATTCACAATGGGCATAGAAAGAGGCATTTGTCTTCGTTCCTTGGTGTTTGGGGCCTCAGTTGGGAAGAGTTATTTAGCACATGCCTGGCATTTGGCTGGAACAGTTGTCTGAAATACTTCTAGTGGCTTTCCATGTGGTTGTTTGGGCTTTCTTATAACATGGCTGCTGGGTTTCAAAAGTGAGCAGCCAAGAGAACAAGTCATAAATACCTGACAGTTTTGCGACCTAGCTTTTTAGACATCAAATACACTACTGGGCCTCCCCTGGTGGCACAGGCGGTTGAGTGCAGCGCTGTGAGACTGTCCGCAGCCTCTCAACGCAGGTTTGATCCTGGCCGGCCAGCCGGCGAGGGTCTCACATGGCATGGCAGACCTCTCCTGTCTTGCCTGCTGCTCCCCTCAGTAGTGTATTTCATCAGTCTTCCTGTTCTGTTCCCCACTCTGCCTCTGGTGAATCCTCTCACCCTCCCTCGCATCTGACCTGTACCTCGGTTATTGTATAAATATATAAATAAATCTTTAAAAAAAATAGTACTACTACTTCTATTGTTCATAAGTCCACAGTGGTTGTGGGAAAGGAATGTAGAACCTATTGGAGAAAAGTGTATATTGGGAGACATGCAGTAGCCCTCTTTGGAAAATGTAGTCTTGTTGGGAGAACAATTTTTTTTAATTCCTAGTTAGCCAGTTACAGTTTCACCTTTATGATGGCGCAAAAGTGATAAATTCAGGGGAAACCATACTTTGAATTTTGAGTGGTGTTTTTTTTAAATATTTATTTAAGCATACAAGAACTGGGGTACAGGCCAGAGGTGTGGAGGGTAAGAGGATTCACGAGAGACAGAGTGGGAAACAGAACAGGCAAAATGACTGAAATACACTGCTGAGGGGAGTGGCGGACGAGTCAGGAGAGGTCTGCTGTGCCATGTGGGGAGCTCCCTGGCCGGGGATTGAACTTGTGCTGCAGTGGCTGCAAATTGCCTCCTAGGTTGCGTCTTAACCCCTTGCACCACCAGGGAGGCCCCTGAATTTTGAGTTTTGATCTTTTTCTGGGATTAGCAATATATGGTACATACTCTCTTGGGTCCTTAACAGGAATTTTTAAAATATTTTTTACAATGAGGATTGAAACAAGAAGTTTAAGCCCTTTAAATAAGATGTAATATAGAGTATTAGTCCATAATAATTTCATATATTAGGATTTTACTTGTTTTTGTTAAAGTCCCTTTTTGTCCTGTTTTTTGTTAATAACACTAAGAAAGCTTTTTTAAAATTTGTGTGTGTATATAATATAATTTTTTTTTTACATTGCATGCTTTCTCCTTTCAGGTGTAGTCTCTGTAAAAAACCACCACCAATTTACACATGTACCATCACCATAGTGCCTTGTGTTTTTCCCTCCCCTGTTTGGAACCCTCTTCTTCCCCCCTCCCTTGCAGAATGTCTCTGATTAATAATTGCCTGTTAATTTTGTTTTTTAATTTATTATAATTTTTTTTCTTGATCCCTTATTTGGTTCCCCTACATTCCTCCTATAAGTGTAAAAAAGCTTTTTTTTATCACTGTTTTGTTTTACAGATAAAAATATAAAATGTAATATGGATTCATTGAGAGATTCACCTAAAAAGAAATCTGAAAAAAAACAACAGTGCATCTCTTTAAAAAATATAAATAAGGTTGTATTTTACAATATTCATTAAATGCAAATTTTACATAATGTTAATTTGAGGATATTCTTTTAAAGTTAATAGGCATCAAAATTATGTTTTCTATCAGAAATATTTTTTTTAAAGATTTATTGATTTTTATACTAGAACCGGGGTACAGGCCAGATGTGTGGGAGGGTGAAAAGATTCACCAGAGACAGAGTGGGGAACAGAACAGGTAGACTGACGAAATACACTACTGAGGGGAGCAGCAGGCAAGACAGGAAAGGTCTGCTGTGCTGTGTGGTATTCTCGCTGGCCAGCCAGGATTGAACCAGCACTGCAGAGACAGGGACGGCTTCACAGTGCAGCGCTGAACTGCCTGCGCCACCAGGGAGGTCCTCTATCAGAAATTTTTGGCTGTGATAGTTTCATTCATAAAAAATAAAATATGCTTGTTTGCTTGATTTCAAAAGAACAAGCTAACTCCAGCCTCCCCTCTTATCAACCCCTTGTCCTTGGCTTAGTGGCCTCTCCACAAATTGGGTATTCTATTTTTAACAAAGTAATGAAAATGCAGAATTATGAGACCGCTAATAGTTAAGTTTAAATCTAACCAGTCTTTGACTAGACAGGAAAGTCACCAGAAGACATTTTAAGTACTAAATACCTAAATGCCAGGTGACTGTCATGGATACTCACTGTAGTTGTGAAGGTAGTGACACCAGCATCCCGCTTTCTAGTTCCTTGTTGCTCCATATATGTGCTGTCTAGAAACTGTCTGGAATGATGTTTATGAGAATAATTCCCATGTAATTTCGCATGAATGTCTTGCTAGCACACATTCTTTCTAAAAAAAAAAATTTTTTTTACAGTGTGTTGAATCTTCGGTGTATTGGCCAACAAAAAGAGGCATAACCATATATGCTGATCCAGATATACCAGCAGCAAGGTATGATTGAGTCTAGTCTAATGGACTGGAGACTTATGTGTAGTATAATCTTTTACAGTGTTCGCGAAGATTGATGGCTGGAAAATACTCAATATCAGAAACAGGGTAATCCCAGAAATTTGGATTAAATCTATATTAATTTAAAATAAATGTTGGGCCTCCCCGGTAGCGCAGCAGTTGAGCACTGGGTTGCAAAGCTGCTCACAGCCTCTGCAGCGCTGGTTCGTTCCCCGGCCACCAGGTGAGGGTCCCACATGGTGCGCAGACCTCTCCTGCTCCCGCTGCACCCCTCAGCAGTGTATTTCATTAGTCTGCCTGCTCTGCTCTCCCCTCTGGCTCTGGTGAATTCTCTCACCCTCCCACGCTTCTGACTGTACCCAGTGCTTATATAAATAAATAAATCTTTTAAAAAATAAAATAAAATATAATAAATATGTTGTGACATCTGATTATCAGCACAAGTGATCAAAAACTGGTAGTAGGTTTAGATTTTCCTTTTTTTTTTTTTTTCTTTAGATTTATTTATTTATTAATACAAGCACTGGGTACAGTCAGAAGCGCGGGAGGGTGAGAGAATTCACTAGAGCCAGAGCAGGAAACAGAACAGGCAGACTGATGAAGTACACTGCTGAGCTGCGGGCGCAGCAGGAGAGGTCTGTGTGCCATGTGGGACCCTCGCCGGCGGCCAGGGATCAAACTGGCCCTGCAGAGGCTGCGGGCAGCTTTGCAGCCCAGCGCTCAACCGCTGCTCCACCAGGGGAGGCCCTCTGTTGTCATTTGTATTTGAACAATTGTCTTTTAAAGAGATTTTAAAAAGGAGAACAGTGTCTTGCACATAAATCTATGTAGTTGCCATAAAGCCTTTCCCTTTATATGGAGGTCCAGAATCCCACCTGGTGCCATTTGTGTTCTACCTGATACTCTCTAATGTCTGTATTGTTTCATTATTTGTATTGTGGGTCTGCTGATGACAAACTCAGCTTTCTGTGTATCTGAAAAATCATTTCAGCTTCAATTTTGAAAAAGAAGTTCTTTCTAGGTATAGAATTCTAAGTTGACAGCCCCCACCCCCACTACCATATTTGAAAGCTGTTGCTCTGCTGTTTTTTTATATATATATTTTTACATCATTCATTATTTTTGTACAATATGTGCTTTCTCATCTCAGTTATAGTCCCTATGAAATTCCCACCACCAGTTCACCTGTGTACCATCACCATATTCCCTTGTGCTTTTCCCACCCCTGATTTGATCCTACTCCCCCTGTAGAATGCCTCTGGTGTATAGTTGCCTGTTGATTTTGATACTTACTTTATTATAATTACTTTTTTTACCCCTGATCCCTTATATTCCTCCTAAAAGTGAAACTATCCAGTATTTTTCTTTTTCTTTCTGGCTTATTTCACTGTTGCTCTACTATCTTTTGATATGCATTGTTTCCAAAGCAAAATCTAGTATCTTTTTCTCTGTTCCTCTGTGACATCCTTTTTCTCTGAGGGGCTAATTACATGGTTAGTGTCCTTTCTCTCATGCTTCTTATTCTTGGGGTTTACTAAGTTTCTTTGTAGATTTCTGTTTTTCATCAAATTTGGGAAATACTCAGTTATTCTAGAAATATTTTGTTATACCAATCTCTTCTATCCTTTTGAGAATCCAAATGACAAATTTCAGCCCTTTTAGTTTTGCCCCAGAAGTCCCAGAGACTGTTCATCTTTTTTACCTTTATTTCCTTGCTGTTCCTCAGATTAAAATTTTTACTCATCTATTTTTAAGTCAATTGACTCTGTCATCTCCATTCTGCTAGTGAACACACACAATGAATTTTTAACTTAATGTGTTACATTTTTCAGTTCTCAAATTTTTACTTCATATTTTGTCATAGTCTCTATTTCTGGGCTGTGAACTTTTCTTACTCCATTCGAGAATGCTCAGCTTTCCTTTCCTAATGGAGCATGGTTATAGCTGCTTGAAGTACCTGATTGATCATTCCCCCTTCTGGGCCAACTTGGGGAGGCATCTGTTGCTTATCTTTTCTCTTGACAATCTTATTTCTCTGGTTCTTTGACTGTCAAGTGATTTGGGAATGTATTCTGGATATTTTTAATACTATGGTGTGAGACACTGTTTTCTGTTCATATCCACTGGAGAATGTTGATGTTCATTGATTGTTTTAGCAGGAAGTTGACAGCTCCATTAGGTTTATTTGTTTGTTTATTTTAAAAGATTTATTTATTTATTTTAAAAACTTTATTTATTTATGCATGCAAGAGCTGGGGTGTAGATCAGAGATGCGGAGGGTGAGTGGATTCACCAAAGGTAGAGTGGGGAGCAGAACAGGCAGAGTGACTGAAATATACTGCTGAGGGGAGCAGTGGGCAAGATAGGAAAGGTCTGCTGCACCATGTGGGTAGCTCCCTGGCTGGGGATCGAACTTGTGCTACAGTGGCTGCAGATAGCTTCATTGTGCTGCATCTTAACCCCTTGTGCCACCAGGGAGGCCCCAGCTCCATTAGGTTTGGACCTCATATTCTGTCTCACTTTCTGTGGGTGGTAACTATAGTGTTAGCCCAGTTCCCAAGTCTTTGGTAAGTTACTCTGTGTCTGTTCTGAATATAGTGAACCTAGAATGAACCTGGGACTTACATTGGGTCATCAACAGAAGAGGAGGGCCCCCCTTTTCTGACCTACTCTCTCTTCCCCCCAGAGTTTTCCACAGATTGATCAGTCATTTTGTTGGCACTCCTGTCTGTTCCTGGGACCAGATAGCTGGTTTCTCATAGAAATTGCCATGTCGTTCTGTGTGACTAGGGCTGCTTGTTGAGGAAACGAGATAGAGATCCCCATGTAGTTGCTAGGCCATGGGATCCCCCTTTCCCGGTTCCTCCAGAGAGAGGGGCATTCTCTGGGGGTTTTAGGCAACCATATTGCCGCTGCTCTGTGGCTCCATGATGGGAGCAGCCCGGGGATGGGGGAGAAGAGAAAAAAAGAAAACCAGTGGAGCTTTCCCATGTTGTGTGGTTAAGGGCCCCTTCCTGGGTTGTCTGGCTTCAAGTCAGAAGTTTCTCTCCGAGTTCTTGGTGTCTCCTGCATGATTCTACTTCTTGGCCAGCACTGAGCCAACACCAGGACAGAGGAGGGTGAGAGTGAAGGAAGCTATTCATAATTTGATTTATTTTCACATTTTGATTTTTCTCCCCTATATTTTTGTGCTTTTATCTCGAGTTTCATAGGAGAGGATGATACAGTACTCTTAACTTCCACTTGGCAAGCACCAGAACTGTCAAAAGATTCCACAGAAATTTATGTAGATCAAGATGTTGCTCAGTGGCACTTAAGTTTTCTTCCAGAAAATAAAACTGTTTTTAGGATTATGGTAAATGTGTTCAAATATGTTAATACATGTTTTTTCTTTGTTAGTGCTTTATGTCAGAAGCCAAGTGAGACATCGTTTAGATTGGCTGAGAAGAAAGACTATGATGAGAAGAACGGCTGTGTGAAGTATGAGTTTGTTTCTTGCCCTAAATTTTTTATTGAAATAATTGTAATAAAGTTATAAATAGGGAGAATTTACATGTGATTTTATTACTAATTTCAAATCTGCATTTCCATTAAAAAATGCACAGGAGTTATTCCCTATAGGCTTTAAAATTAGTTTTTATGAAATGTTTATTAGGATCGATTTTTCTGGTTAAGTCTTTGTTCCAGTGTAAAGAGTCATTGTCTATCTCCTTTTTCCAATTTTCTTAATAAAGTGAGCAATTTTATGAAGTAACTTATAATTAACTAATAATTTCATTTTATTCTTGTTAATACAACACAAAATGCCTCTTACATTGCAAACAACTGGCTACTTTGAAGCCATCACAGTGACAAAGAATTTAAGACGGTTCAGAGATGGGCAGATTGTGCTGTATCCACTTTGGGGCCTAGAATGATTGGGGAGAGGATGCTGACTGTGCAGCCATTTGGGCCACACAACATCCTAAAGGCCCACACTGTGGCCTTGTAATATCTTCTTATACTGAAGTTACTCTGCATTATGTTCCCCTGGAGCTCACAAATCTCAGAGTTGCTGTTAATGTGCCAGATTTGATGTCCTCAACCGGGGCATCCTTCTACCTCACTTATAAGAAGTTTCACTAAAACCTGAAAGTTTTGGCCCTGCTAGTGCTTTTTCCCTTGGAATAAAAGACCTTGCATTATCCATGCTGCTCATTTCTTATATTACATTAAATTACAACTTGTTAAATCAAGCCAGATAGTCTGTTGCCTTTTGTCTGTATGAAAAGATTGTATATTAGCTCCTCTTTGACTAAATGCCCTTTACTTAGATTAAACTGATTAAACTACATCAGTTATTCTGTCAGCCCACTGTGGGTTCCAGGAAACCTTGAAGTCATTTAAGAATGAGCAATAAACAAGGAAGGAAGCAGTGGGTTTCTTAAAAATGTGACATGATGTGGTGATGACATACAGTGTTTTTCCTTATCCAGCACAAATGATCCTGGCTGTGCTGTTTGTATAGTGGGATCCTGTTGTGCGTGTAGGGGAAGCATGGGCTGGCATGGATGGCACTGGTGTCACAGTAAACTGGGCAGAGCAAAATCAGAAGTAATTTCATAGCTGTGCCTTGGGACATGTAATTCATTATACTTGTCAAGTAATAATTAAAAGAGTAGCTCAGTTGAGGAGAGAAACATGTTTTTGCCTTCAGATTGTCCTTTTAACTATTTTACAGATTATTGCAGTTTTTGAATCCTGATCCATTGAGAGTTGGTGACATCTCTGATTTGCAGCAGGTATTTACAGCCCTAATAAAGGGGGGATAAAAGAGCACTGTTTACTCTTTTTTTTTTTAAGATTTATTTATTTATACAAGAACTGGGATACAGGCCAGATGTGCGGGAGGATGAGAGGATTCACCAGAGACAAAGAGGGGAATAGAACAGGCAGTCTGACTGAAATACACTGCTAAGGGGAGCAGCGGGCAAGGCAGGAGAGGTCTGCTGCACCATGTGGGTATTTCCCTGGCCAGCATGGATCGAACCTGTGCTACAGAGGCTGTAGATAGCTTCACAGTGCTGTGCTCAACTGCCTACACCACCAGGGAGGCCCAACACTGTTTACTCTTTAAATCCCTCTCTTGTCTTCCTCTGAACTTGACATTAAAAGAGAAGCCCCTTAGAGAGAAACTTTATGGGAAGACTTCCTTTTAGAAATTATTTAGTGAGTTACCACTTTAGAGAAATTGTTCCTTTTTAATTTGGGTAACATGATATACCTCTCATTTGGGCAGTTTGATGCTTTTGTTAAGCATATTTGCATTGAAATCAAACTCTCATTTTCTTCATCTCTGTGGAGTTCTTGGTACTGTGTGCTAACTCTAGGCATCAGCATCTATCTCTCATGTCCTCTTAGTTGCAGAAGTTGAAGGCAGGTGCATGGCAGCCCTTCATGGTGCTCCGGAACAAGGTGGAGCCCTGCCTGTCCATTGACTTGTCGCCACTTTCAGCAGACCTGAAAAAGGTAAGCTTGCTCCTGAACATGACAGAAAGCTGACCTTTTCTCATGTAGAAGAATTCTTTATAAACACTTCAAAGATTGTATAATTTCTTTGCTTTTGACATTCTCTTAAGCTTTTGCTACTTCTCATTTATTCTTAAATCCAGGTTAACTTCTTATAAGTAAATAATTCGCTGCAGAACCATTTTATAGTTCTTAAGTGCTTCTCTCAAATAACCTTTCTAAAGTTGAGCTGAAAAAGAACAAGTTGTCAGGCAGGTGTAATATACTTACAAACATTCATTTCCAAATTTCTTTATGGACCCATGGTTTCACTTGGTAAGTTGATCATACATGTTTATCTGCTACCTTACTGATACCAAAAAAAGTTTAAAAATACTTTTATTTATTTTTTTTTTAATAGAGGCATGTTTTATTTATTTATTTATTTGGTTTTTTGTTTATACAAGCACTGGGTACAGTCAGAAGCGCAGGAGGGTGAGAGAATTCACCAGAGCCAGAGCGGGGAGCAGAACAGGCAGAAGGACCGAAGTACACTGCTGAGGGGAGCAGCGGGCGGCAGGAGAGGTCTGCGCGCCATGTGGGACCCTCCTCCGGTGGCCGGGGAGCAGCCGGGGATCGAACAGGCGCCGCAGAGGCCGCGGGCAGCTTCGCAACCCAGCGCTCAACCGCTGCGCCACCGGGGAGGCCCTAAAAATACTTTTAAAAGAAAGATAAAACCCACAAATATGAATAGAACGTGAGATGACCTATTAGTCAACAATGGGTTTCCACAGGCTTTTAGAAAATAAAAACCAATCTGCGGAGTATGACTGGCACAGCAGTGGGAAGAGTGATTTGGGTGGGGTGGTGGCTTTCCCTCCCAGTTTCTCAGGAGAGAGATTGGAAGCTCTTTTTGGAGAAACTGACTTCCTCTAGAGAAATGACTTTTAGATAGTGAGTTCTGGAATTTTCCCAGTAAAAATGTGTGTTTGCTGCCCTGTCTTCCTACAGAGATGTGATGCTCACATGGTAAGGAGCTTTGGCCCACAGATCTCTTGCCAGCTTTTAGTATTCTCTTCAGTGTGAATAGACACCAGGGCTCATTAATTCTTTAAAACTGAAGAACACCCTCACTTAACCAAAAAAACGAAAACAAAACAAGCTTTAAAGGCCAAATGAAACAATGTAGGCAGGAAACAATATTTCAGAGTCAGTATCCAGATAGTGCATGTGTTGATATAGAACAATAACATAATACTATAAAAAAAAATCAGAATAAAGCTTCTGGGAAATTAAAAATGTTCTGGAAATAAAAACTGATAGTAGACTTGTGAGGTAAAAAAAGCTTACTATCAAAAAGTAGAACAAAAAGGCAAAGAGATGGAAATGGGGGGAGGGAAGATAAATTGAGGGTCAATTTGAGGTCTAAGGAATGAAAAAAAGGGATTTCTAGAAAGAATGAAGAAATTTTGAGAAGAGTAGAACAGAATGTGGGGTTCTATACCTAGGAGTGGAAATAAAGGCAAACATTATTTTAAAATGAACAATGATATAAAATATACATAAATGAATTTTAAAAAATAAATTAAAAAAATCATAGTAAACTCATATTACAACTTCTATGGAGATACAGAGCTAAAGAAATACTGTTTCACAACTGTTACAGAGGTTAAAAGCAAAGGAAGAAAAATTAGTTTATTACAACAGATTTTATTTTTTTTAAGATTTATTTAATTTTATACAAGAGCTGAGTACAGGCCACAGGCACGGGAGGGTGAGAGGATTCACCAGAGACAGAGTGGGGAACAGAACAGGCAGACTGACAAAATACACTGCTGAGGGGAGCACCGGGCGCGACAGGAGAGGTCTGCTGCGCTATGTGGGACCCTCACCAGCCAGCCGGGATCAAACCGGCGCTACAGAGGCTGCGGAAAGCTTCACAGCACGGCACTCAACTGCCTGTGCCACCGGGGGAGGCTCCCCCCCCAAAAAAATGAGGTTTAATATATAGCCAAGAACAATGAAGGCCACAAGTGCTACCTTAAAAACATTTACTTCTAATCATAATCATTAAAACGATGAGCTAGCTTCCTCCCCTATAAGGCTAACAGAAACATTCAGTTGTGGGACCGCATTTATTCAACTCCAAATGAATTCACATTTACTAGCTATGGCTGGCATATCAACAACAGTGTGATTAATGCATCATGACATCACTTTTTATTCCTATTTCATTTACTTATAGATAATGAAACTTAAGAGTTTCAGTAAACTCCAGGAAACTGTTCAATTATTATTTTTTTTTTTTGTTAGTTGTGAATGCTTTAAACATAGTGATTAGGCATTGGAAATTGCATTTATGATACTAAGTTCTAAATTTTCAGGAATGTAAGCTTATTTATTTTATATGACTTAGATGTTTCTTTATTAGTACTTGTCGGATAGACACACTGTGTGTGGAAAGAGACATTTGAAAAGTGATTTTGCTGAGTGAATCATTAAAGTTTTGATTTTGTGAATAATTAAATTTTTGATTTTGGATATTATAAAAAAAAAAGATCTAGTAGAAATAAGAGAAAACTGACCACAGACCTAGAACAACCTTGGAACAAGATGGCAGACGTGTTATAGTGAAGCCACTGACAGGCAGAGATTCAGAGATCATGAAAGCTTCCAGAAAGTAGCAGCTGGTCCCATGTGCAGGAACAGAAAGCAGAATGACTTCTGATTCCACAATCACCCTATAAAAGCACTCAGTCCAAAACCTGAAGAGTAAATTCAGTCTGTCAATGACGTGTCAGGGTAGAATGAATACATTTTCAGGCAGCAAAGTCTCAAAAAATTCTTTGTCAAGAAGCTATTGAAAGGGCCTCCCCGGTGGTGCAGCAGTTGAGCTCTGGGTTGCGAAGCTGCCCGCAGCCTCTGCAGCGGCGGTTCAATCCCCGGCTGCTCCCCGGCCAGCGGAGGAGGGTCCCACATGGCGCGCAGACCTCTCCTGCCGCCCGCTGCTCCCCTCAGCAGTGTACTTCGGTCCTTCTGCCTGCTCTGCTCCCCGCTCTGGCTCTGGTGAATTCTCTCACCCTCCCGCACTTCTGACTGTACCCAGTGCTTGTATAAATAAATAATAAATCTTTAAAAAAAAAAAAAAAAAAAAGAAGCTATTGAAAGTAAACCGAGAAAGGTAAATGGAGTTACCAACCAGAGGCAGATGGTAAAGAGACACTAGGGAGACAGCTGCCCACTAGGTGCAGCATAGGACCCTGCAGCTGGGTTTCAGAACCTGGGACGAGGGCTTCATGGAGCTAATGGTGCTGATGAGTTTACCCTTTTGGAAACTAATATATCAATATGGAAAACTCCATTCTGTTGGAATGTTTGTAAGATTTTACTTAGAAAAATATGCAGAGGGGCCTCCCTAGTGGTGCAAGGACTAAAGCTATTGCCAGCCACTTTCAAGCTATCGCCAGCCACCGTGGCATGAGTTTGATCGCCGGCCAGGGTGTTACCCACATGGCACAGCAGACCTCTCCTGTCTTGCCCGCTGCTCTCCTCAGCAGTGTCTTTCAGTAGATCCACCTGTTCTGCTCCCCACTCTGTCTCTGGTGAGTCCTCTCACCCATGCACCTCTGACCTACACCCCAGCTCTTGTATGCATAAATAAATAAATCTTTAAAAAACAAAACAAAACCAGAGCAAGCAAAGTAAATGCTGGGGTAAAGTGAACAGTGAGATCAGCATTTTTGTTAGTTTTCTGTACCGTATTATGGTTTTTTTGGGTTGTTGTTGATATTTTGTAGGCTCTTCAAAGAAACAAGTTTCCAGGACCTAGCCACACTGAATCTTACTCTTGGCCTCCCATAGCACGTGGCTGCGATGTGGTGGTCATATCTCATTGTGGAAATGACCCTTTGTTGTATCTTCCGCCGCTGCTTACGATCTTACAAACTGAGGGCTGCTACAAGTCATTACCAAGTAGAAACGGAGTAAGTTGAAGACAATTTTGTTTCACAACAATGTGGGTTCAATATTTATTTTGAAATTTTATACCTAACTTCTGGTAAAGGCACATCATTTGATTTCCAAACTGGCAGGACAAACTCTCCTCCTGTCATGGTCGTGGATTCTTTTACTGATTCTCACCTTGAGACCCAAGGTGGGGCCACCGACTGAGTCAGGAGAGTCTTGGTCCTTAGAGATGAATATGTGGTTTATGAAATTATTTCACTGATTTGATTCACATAATTGTCATGGCAACTTTATGAAATGTCCAGATTGTGTATGTATTGTTTTCACTAGTTCATAGATGAGGAAATTAAATTGTTGAGAAGTTAATGACATAAATTCTTAACAGCTGACAAGTGGAAAAATTAGGATTAGAATTTAGGTTTTCTCTCTTTTCCATATTCTTTAAATTATTCCGTGGTTCTCCACACTGTTTAATGTTCCTGCTTTATTTTTCATGTGTGTAAGAATCTCAAAGGTGATGGAAAGGAGAGAAATGGGGGGGTTAGTGAAGAACAAATCATGGTGAGGTAGTAACAACATCTGTTTAGCTGGGCTGGGCTGTTAGGTGAGCTGATATATGTAAGACTTCCAACTCAGATCCTATCACAAAGGCTACATGGCAAATGGTTTAGTTACTCGTTACAAGGTGAAAAAATAGTAGGAAAAGACACTTAAAAGACACTTAAAGACACTTGCACTTACAAAAGATACTCGCTTTTCTATTATGCCACATAGTTTAATGATTTCTCTTTGGATATCTGCATTAAATGTTTTTATATATTCATTTATAAAACTAGGTGCATATATATCCCTCGGTTAGCTAACAGCTGACCCCTAGAGAGGCAAGCTTGTCCTGGGACCTAACCCTGGCTGGGGCGAGGAAGGGATGTCCATCCATGTCTCTCCTCTGGTGTCCACTCTGGTGTCTCCACGTCAGTTTGTTTTGGACCTGATGCCTGGAGATTAGCACTCACCTGCATCTGCCTGAAGGAACGAGGAGGCTCGTTCTTGTTTTCAGTGAATTGAGGGCCTAGGGAGATGTTTGGCTATCAGTATACATTGAGGAGGTCTCTGTTGAAGGCAGGAGGGCTGAATTCAGATGGTGGTATAGAAAGGAAGGTGCTGTAGAAGGAAACAGCTCTCCTAAGGAAAAGTTAACCGTTTCTAACACCCCTATCAGGAGGCAGTTGCTTCATTCTTATGCTTAGGATCAAGGAGCACTAGAGCCAGACACCTGGCTCCAAATCCTATTGCTGCTGCCATATATTAGCTGTGCAGCTTTGGGTGACTGACTTCACCTCTCTGTACCTCAGGCACCTCCTCTGTGAAATGAGACAGTAATAGCTGCTTCCCTGTAAAAGAGGTTTTTTTTTGTTGTTGTTGTTTTTAAGATTTATTTATTTATATAAGCACTGGGTACAGTCAGAAGAGCGGGAGGGTGAGAGAATTCACCAGAGCCAGAGCAGGGAGCAGAACAGACAGACTGACGAAACACACTGCTGAGGGGAGCAGTGGGCGGCAGGAGAGGTCTGCGCGCCACATGGGACCCTCACCCGGTGGTCGGGGATAGAACCGGGGCTGCAGAGGCTGCGGGCAGCCTCACAACCCAGTGCTCAACCGCTGTGCCACCGGGGAGGCCCTCTGTAAAAGAGTTTTAAGGACTGAATGAATTAATACGTATGAAGGGCTTATTGTAAGCAATAGGAAAAATCAGTTAATGTGTCTTAAGTTCATTTTAGTAAAATTATTTTAACTTTTTTAACCTGTGTGACCATGATGAAAGCAGAAATTTTACTGCTAACTCTATGCAAAGGATGGTTTGCATGCCTCATATATCCTGTGTTCTTAACTTTTTTCAGAATTACATGAATTTGTTTGTCTTTACAGCCTCTGGCAGTCATCGTGTGCCCTGGGTGGAAAAAGGCTCAGTTTATTTTTGAATTATTGGGAGACTATAGCATGTCCTCCAGGCCTCTTCACCCTGTGTTGTTAACAATCGGACTCCATAAAGATGAAGCCAAAAATATGAAGCTTCCAAGGGGTTGTAAGCATTTTTTCCAAGCTGTTTGGTTTCCCTTAGAGAACATGTGGACATGACCAGGCAGGCAGGGGAGCCACATAAAACACTGGGCTTGTGTGCTGTTGCAGCCAGTGGCCACTAGTCCAGACCTCACCTGTCCGTTACTGCCAGTCTGGATGGGGAAGGGGTCGTTGAGAAAACCACATGATTATTTATCAACTATTCATTTATTCCAGTTCATTTACTGAACACCTCCTGTTTGTTAGATGCCGACTAAAACCCTTCCTGTCTCTTAGGAGCACAGAATCTGGTGCTCCTGAGAATCAGACAATCACAGGGTTAGCTTGGGCAGGGAAGCTTGTTGTCTCAACCATTCTAGTAAGAAAAACAGATTTTTGTTTCACTAGATGGCATTTCTAGAAAGCATGTAGAAGCTAACATTTCCAAATGTTAGAAAAACCTGTGGAAAATCTAAAATGTTAATTGTCTGTTCTTTTAAAAAATGTAGGTGATGTGATTGTTACAACACCACATAGCCTCATGAGACTTCTTAGATATCAAAGCTTATTATTTCTTAGACTCTGTCACCTAATTTTGGATGAGGTGGAAGTATTATTTCTTGAAGCTAATGAACAAGTAAGTATATTATCCATTTAGATGACATTCTTCTTAAGAAATATGTATACATAATACACACACACACACACACATATGTCTTAACTGCTTTTAGGAATCAGTGAAAGAGTCTAGTTGGAGAAGAAGCTGGTTAGTCTAAAACAAACTCTTATAATTAAGAAGAGAGAACATTTATTTGAAATTTCTTTCCCAGTGTTCTGGGTTCTCTTTGGAAAGCAAAAATTCTCTCCCAAGTAAGTTTTCTAAAATATCTAAGTAGAGCCTCCCTGGTTAACCTCCAAGGGGTTAACTCTCAGCACTATGAAGCTATCTGCTGCCACTGCAGCATGAGTTCAATCCCTGGCCATGAGCTTACCCTCATGGTGCAGCAGACCTCTCCTGTCTTGCCTGCTGCTCCCCTCAGCAGTGTATTTCAGTCAGTCTGCCTGTTCTGCTCCCCCTCCGGTCTCTGTTGAATCCTCTCACCACCTCCACCCTTACTCTACCCCACACACCTCTGGACCACACCCCTGCTCTTGTATGCATAAAAAAAATAAATCTTCTAAAAAATATTTAAGTAGTATTTTTCTGACTATGGAAGCAGTAATTTATTTTAGAAAACTTGAGAAATAGAGAACTCTTGAAAAACCCCAGTTTCCGTAGTCTTACACTCAAGTATTACCAAAATGCCAAATGTTTTCATTTTTGTGATTCCTGTGTCACAATTCCTGTGTCTGTTAACTAATACAAATAACAATATCAGGACCTTCTTTTATGCTAGTTTGTAACTTGCTTTTTTCAGTAGACATCATGAATATTGTTACTATTTTACAGTGTGATTGTTATTGGCCATATGGTAATTGACTCTATGGGTATAACATTATTTATCTTAAAACTGTTTTTTTTTAAGATTGATTTATTTATGCATACAAGAGCTGGGGCACAGGCCAGAGATGGGGGGGTGGAGGTGAGAGGATCCACCAGCAGATCGACTGAAATACACTGCTGAGGGGAGCAGGGGGCAAGACAGGAGAGGTCTGCCTTGCCATGTGGGTTTCTCCCTTGCCGGCCAGGGATTGCACTCATGCTGCAGAGGCTGCGGACCACCCCATAGTGAGATGCTTAGCCCCTTGCGCCACCAGGGATGCCCAAAACTATCTTATATTTGGACGTGTGTTATCATTTGTGTGTGTGTGGCTAAAGAACATTTAGCCTTCCTTGCACATTTCCCTTGGGATAAATGCCTAGGAAGGAGATTAATGAATCAAAGACTATGACTGTTTTTTATAAGGCATTGGTTGAGAGCATTGTGATATAGTGGCCAAGAGCGTTGTTTGGGAGCAAGTTCAGGCTTTGTACTGCTGACTGTGTGGGCCTGTACAGGGTTTCTGAACGCCCCGAAAGACTCATTTTTTACTTGCAAAACTGATGTCCGTATACTGCACTGTATACAATTGCCTTTGTAAAGACATAGCCCAGTTTCCCCTCCCTGAAGCAGCATCCCCCATACCGCACTCCTGCACCCCTGCAATAGGAGGCTGTAGGGCAGCTCGCTTTTCCAGTCTGATTGTTAAACACGGCAGCTTATTAACTGAATCTGTTTCCTTGATTACTTCAGTTGAGCATGATTTCATACTGGCCATGTGTGCCCATTCTTCTGTGAGCTGCTGCTTCATTTCCTTTGCTTACTTTTTATCAGTGAGATATTCTTTTTCTCATCAGTTGTTGACGTTTTTAACATAAGAATGTTAATACTTTGTTACATATTTTCGTATTTACCCAGATGATGTTTGTGTTTTAATTTTGTTGATACTTACTATTTTTTCCTTTTGAGATTTTTCTGTCTGGAAAGGACTTCCTTACTCTGAAAACAGAAAATATAAAATCCTTTAGCTTTTATGTTGTCAGACTAAATATTTCTTTTCTGAAATAAAAATGAAATTAATTATGCTATTTTTTTTAGATGTTTGCTATATTAGATAACTTTAAAAAAAATACTGAAGGTGAAGAAAGGGAATCTGTACCACATCAGATTGTTGCAGTTGGAGCTCATTGGAACAGACACATAGAGCATTTAATGAAAGAGTTCATGAATGACCCCTGTGTTGTGATCACGGCCATGGAAGAGGCTGCTCTCTATGGCAGTGTCCAGCAGGTAATGAACCATGGGGGTGTGGCGCAGGGGCTAATGAATACACTCAAGTAACCTCTGTTTTATTGCTTATTGTTAAAAGATTGTAGCCTTAGTTCCATCAACAAATCTGTAATGGTGCATATACATTTTTATTTGCCTCCTACACATTCTATTAGCGTCATAATTAACTTACGAAAAGTGGAACTGGGGTACCTTGAGCAGTTTTAAATCACTTTGTTTCTGTATTTTATTACCAGATAGTGCATCTTTGCCTAGAATGTGAAAAAACCTCTACTTTGCTCCAAACGCTTGATTTTATCCCAAGTCAGGCACAGAAGACCTTAATCTTCACCTGTTCTGTCGCTGAAACAGAAATGGTGTGTAAGGTAAGCCCTCCCACTCATAAAAGTATTCTGTTTGTTTAAACTATGATTGAATCTAGAATTATCAGAAAATTACTGGGTAGTTAATTATTTGACAGGAATAACATTTTATAAGTTTAACATCAGTCAGAAGAGGAGTAGGTCCTGCTGCAGAGTTCTGATAGTGTAAAAAGACAGCAAGAGGCCTGACATTGAGGAGAGGAGTCATGGTGTGTGGTGGGCTGTCAGCTTTTCCCTTGAAGCGAATGTTCTCCAAGGGGTACAGAGCAATGTATATATTTTGTCCTGGCATGGAGCATTGCAAGGAAGGATCTGATTCATGAAGAAATGCTTTCCTCTTCTGTACCCTCTTTTTAAAAATAAGATAAAGGAAAATAGCTTTAGCAAAATATTTGTTGTACTTAAGCAAATTTTTTGATATAAGAATTTTGGAATTTTATTCAAGTTTACAATCATCTCATGTTGTAGAATTAGTGTATCAGAAAGGTGTAATACCCTCACAGATAATTTTTAATGGTTTATATCAATAATTATTGAAGAAACAGTTGACTTCAAGTTTGTATTCCTGACTGAACCTGCCTTTTCGGTTTTATCGCTAGGTAGTAGAAAGCAGTTCAATATTTTGCTTGAAAATGCATAAAGAAATGATTTTTAACTTAAAAAGTATTTTAGAACAGTGGAAGAAAAAGTTAAGTTCTGGCTCTCACATTGTCTTAGGTAAGTGTATTAATATTTCTACTTGTACTTAGAGAAGGATAACCTAATAGGAATCATGTCTTCACTTCATTTTTAGATCTTGTTTCCAAATTTCTCATCAGTTCTCAGGTTGCTGAGAATTTATTAGCATTGTTAATTTCAAAATGAACATAACCTTCACTGGGATTTTTTTTTTAAAGATTTATTTATTTTTATACAAGAACTGGGGTGCAGGTCAGAAGCATGGGAGGGTGAGAGAATTCACCAGAGCCAGAGCAGGGAGCAGAACAGGCAGACAGAGCAAAGACACTGTTGGGGGGAGCAGCGAGTGAGACAAGAGAGGTCTGCTGCGCCATGTGGGGTTCTCCCTGGCCGGCGGGGAATTGAACCTGCACTGCAGAGGCTGTGGACAGCTTCACAGCGTGGCACTCAACCGCCGCGCCACCGGGGAGGCCCACCTTCACTGGAATTTTGATCTTGAGTTGGAGTTCACTGCCCCCAGGGCTCTCAGATCAGCCTGCAGGAACCCTTCTTCTAGATCTGCTTCCTGGAGTTTCAGCTTGAGGATTACTGGCCCATTTGTGTATGTGTATGTATGTGTGTGTGCACATGGGTATGTGTTTACACATGCCTATGATGTAGGAGGGTCATAAATAATTATCCAGTATAATATTAGAGACATCAAGCCAAAATGTATAAGTGTAAAGTATATATGGGCAGTCTGGGTATATATATATAATAGAAAGATCTTTTTCAAACTAAATGGGAGATCACTTCTCCCTGGAGTTTGATACCTGGACTGTGACGTTTCAGAAAAATGAAAGTGTTTCTTTGCTTCTAAAAAGAAAAAATTTACTTAGAAATGCAATGAAGTATGATTACTGGAATTGCTCTGTAGAGGAAATGTCGTAAAACTCAGCATCATTTGAAACTGTCGGGATCCTTTTTTCCAGCCTTAACTGATGATTGCATACCTCTCTTTACCATCACTGATGCCACGTGTGTGATTCACTTCAGCTTTCCTTCCTCACCAAAAATTTTTGGTGGACGCCTATATTGCATGTCTGATAATTTTCAGAGTTTAACTGAACAGGTTTGGTTAATTTTTATTATCTTACTCTTCCACTTGCATTTTCCATGTAATGGCAAATTCATAGTCCACAAAGTTTCATCATCTAGACTGATAATGGGTGTTCTACTTCCTTTATTCACCCCAATTTTAGGGTTCTCCTGCAGAACAGGGAGATAAAAAAGCCAAGTCAATCTTGTTGCTGACAGAGAGGAATGCATGCCATGCGGTGGGCATCCTGCGCTACTTGGAGCGAGCAGATGCCAAGATTCCAGCAGAGCTATATGAGTTCACTGCTGGGGTTCTGGAAGCCAAAGAAGATAGAAAAGCCAAAAGGCCTCTTTGTCCATATCTTAAGGCTTTTGGTTTTTGCAAGTAAGCCATTTCTCTTTCAAGATTGAGATATAGCATGCAGTGAAGTACACATATAGATGTACAGCTTGATACATCCTTACACACTGTGTAAAGTGCCGCCAGCTCTGAAGGTCCCTCATGCTCCTTCCCCAATTTGCTTGTGGCTCAGTTTTCCATTGTATGAAAATATCCATTCTGCTGTTGGTGGACCTGTGGGCTGTTCTCAGTTTTGGACTATGATGTATAAAGCCTCTGTGAACATTCTTCTGTGTGTCTGTTTGTGGAAATATGCACCCATTTTTCTTGGGTATATACTTTGGAGTAGAAATACTGGGTCATGGAATAAACATGTTTCACTTTTATAAAATGATTGACCATTCTATGATCCTGTAGGTGTGAAAGCTCCCTGTCCTCACCAACCAGCACTTAGTATTCTTGGGGTTTGGTGGCAAACCATGTGTTTTTCATTTGTATTTCCCTAATATCTAATGATGCTGAATGTCTTGGCATGTGCTTGCTAGACATTTTTGCCATCCTTTTAAAAAATGATTTGCCTGTTCCAGTCTTTTTCCCATTTTGTATATGTTTGTTAATTTTTTTTTTGTCAATATAAGATTTCTCCCCTCAGGCATAGTCACCATAGCTGTTCCACCACCAAAGCACCATGGTCATCAACCATAGTCTATTATGCTCCCCACTTCTGCCCCCTCTTCCCTCCCTTTTGTACCCCTCCCCTTTCCACTCTCCTCAGATGGTCAGTGTTCAAGGATTGGTTTTAAAGGTTGACCCTTTTGTTTCTCTATGGTCCACATGTAAAGTGACACTTTCCAATATTTATTTATTCTCTCTCTGGCTTTTTTCCACTTTTTTTCCCTTCTAGTTCAATCCATAGTACCACAAAGGCAAGAATTTTATCTTTCTGGGTCACTGACTAGTATTCCATTGTGTATAAACCACAACTTGATACATTCATCTGATTTTGGGGCATTTAGGTTGTTTCTATATCTTGGTTACTGTAAATAGTGGTATAAACATAGGGGTCTTTCACCCATTTTTCAAATGAACCATTCTGTCTTTTTCTTATTGGTTAGTAGGAGTGATTTATTCTAGATGTAAATACTATAGATATAGTATTTAGATGTAAACACTATAGATATAATACTATATCTAGATACTATATATACTATATGTGTGTATATATATATATACACTATATATATTGAGAATATCTTCTCCTGGTCTGTGACATGCCTCTTCACCCTTTTAATAGTCATTTAGCAAACGCATGTTAAATTTTACTAAAGTAGGGCCTCCCCGGTGGCGGAGCGGTTAAGCGCTGGGTTGCGAAGCTGCCCGCAGCCTCTGCAGCGCCGGTTCGATCCCCGGCTGCTCCCTGGCCATCGGAGGAGGGTCCCCCATGGCGCGCAGACCTCTCCTGCCGCCCGCTGCTCCCCTCAGCAGTGTACTTCGGTCCTTCTGCCTGCTCTGCCCCACGCTCTGGCTCTGGTGAATTCTCCCACCCTCCCGCGCTTCTGACTGTACCCAGTGCATGTATAAACAAAAACAAACAAATAAATAAATAAATAAACATGCAAAAAAAAAATTTACTAAAGTATTATTTTATATCCTATCTTTTTCTCCTTGTATAATAAATACTTGTGTATCTCTAGGTTATGAAGATACTATCTATATTTTCTTCTAGAGACATTACAGTTTTAGTTTTCACATTAGGTGTATAATTCATACAGAATTATTTTTTATTTTATTTTATTTTATTTTTTTTTTAAGATTTATTTATTTATTTATACAAGCACTGGGTATAGTCAGAAGCGCGGGAGAGTGAGAGGATTCACCAGAGCCAGAGCGGGGAACAGAACAGGCAGACTGACAAAATACACTGCTGAGGGGAGCAGTGGGCGCAACAGGAGAGGTCTGTGCGCCATGTGGGACCCTCGCCATTGGCCTGGGATCGAACCGGTGCTGCAGAGGCTGCGGACAGCTTCATAGCCCAGCACTCAACCACTGCGCCACCAGGGGAGGCCCCAGAATTATTTTTTAAATATTTTTTTACATAGTTCATTTTTCTACAATGTTTGATTTCTCCCCTCAGATATAATCCCCATAACATTCCCACCACCACATCACCTGTGAATCATCACTATAGTCTCTTGTCTTCTCTGCAGCCCTATTCTGATATCTCTCCCTCCCCCTCCCCTGCTGAATGTCTCTGATTTATAGTTTACCTTCTAATTTTGTCTTTTTTTAATCCCTTGTTTGATTTACTTTTATTCCTCCTATAAGTGAAACCATCCAATATTTTCCTTCTTACTGCTGATTTATTTCACTGAGTATAATCCCTTCCAGCTCCATCCATGTTGCTACAAATGGCGTGAGTTTATCTTTTTTTGATTGCTGATTAGTATTCCATTGTATATATAGGTTCTCACAGTTTTCCATAGTGGTTGGACCAGTTTGCATTCCAACCAGCAGTATAAGAGTGTTTCCTTTTTCTGCACATCCTCACCAGCATTTATTATGGCCAGTTTTTGGGGGTTATTTATTTATTTATTTATTTATTATTTTATTTATTTTTTTTATAGAGGCATGTTTTATTTATTATTTATTTGTTTGTTTGTTTTGTTTTTGTTTATACATGCACTGGGTACAGTCAGAAGCGCGGGAGGGTGAGAGAATTCACCAGAGCCAGAGCAGGGAGCAGAGCAGGCAGAAGGACCGAAGGACACTGCTGAGGGGAGCAGCGGGCGGCAGGAGAGGTCTGCGCGCCATGTGGGACCCTCCTCCGGTGGCCGGAGAGCAGCCGGGGATCAAACTGGCGCCTCAGAGGCCATGGGCAGCTTCGCAACCCAGCGCTCAACCGCTGCGCCACCGGGGAGGCCCTGGCCAGTTTTTTTTAATATGGGCCATTGTCACTGGTGTGAGTTGGTATCTCGTTGTGGTTGTGATTTGCATTTCCTTCATAATTAGTGATGATGAACATTTTTTCATGTGTCTATTGGCCATTTGCATTTCTTCATTGGCAAAGTGTCTTTTTAGCTCTTCTGCCTATTTTTTGACTGGGTTGTTTGTTTTTGTTGAATTATGTAAGCTCTTTGTAGATTTTGATATCAGTTCTTTATCAGTTGCATGGTGTGCAAATATTTTCTCCCATTAGAAATGTGCCTCTTCATTTTGGTTATTGTCTCTTGCTGTACAGACGCTTTTTAATTTGCTCTAGTCCCAGCTGTTGATCTTCTTTGTTTTCCTTGCTTATGGAGACCTCAAAAAATGCTTCTGAGGCTTATGTCCTGGAGTGTTTTGCTTATGTTTTCTTCTATATATTATGGTTTCTGGTCTTAACATTCAAGTCTTTTAGACATTTTGAAGTTGGTTTTTGTGTATGGTACAAGCGAGTCGAGTTTCATTCTTTTGCATGTGGTGGTCCAGTTTTTCCAGCACCATTTATTAAAGGGGCTTTCCTTATTCCAGAGTATATTCTTTGGTCCTTTTCCACATGTGTGTGGCTTTATTTCTGAACTTCCAATTTGAGTTTATTGTTTTGTTGTCTGTTTTATTCCATTACTATGCTATTTTTATTATTATGGCTTTGTAGTATAGTTTGAAGTCTAGGAGTGTATACCTCCATTTTCCCTTTTTTTTTTTAATAATAAATTTTATTTTTATATTCCCCATACAATTGCAACCCCCTCATTCTGACCCCAATCCCTCCCTCCCGCCCCCCTCCATTTTCCCTTTTAATCAAGAGAGCTTTGCTTGTCATTTTTTGTGGTTCCATATGAATTTCAGCAATATTTGTTCTATTTCTTTGAAGAACACAGTTGAGATATTTATTGGAATTGCATTGAATCTGTAAATCACTTTTGGTAGGATGGCCATGTTGATAATTTTTAATTCTCCTCCATGGGAGGGGATGTCTTTCCATTTCTTTGTGTCTTCTATTTCTTCTAACAGTGTTTTATCATTTTCCTTGTATAGGTCTTTCACTTTCTTTGTTAGGTTTATCCCATGTATTTAATTTTCTTTGGTATAATTGTAAATGGGATGGTTTTCTTAATTTTTTCCTCCTCTGAAAGATTGTTTGCATATAAGAAGGCTACTGATTTTTTGTATTGATTTTTTTAATCTACTACTTTACTAAACTGGTTTATTGTTTTAATTAGTTTCCATGGAGTTTTTTAGAATGCTCTCTATATATTATCATATCATCTGAATATAATCATAGTTTCACTGTTTCTTTACCTATTTGTATTCCTCCTATGTCTTTTTCTTGCATAATTGCTCTAGCTAATATGTCCAGTGTTATATTGAAAAGCAGCGGTGAGAGTATACATCCTTGTCTTCTTCCAGATCCTAAAGGGAAGGCTTTCAGTATTTTACCATTAAGAATGATGTCAGCTGTGGATTTGTTGTTAAGGTATATATTTTGAAGGCCTTCATCATAAATGTATGTTAGACTTTATTAGATGCTTTTTCAGCATCTATTGATGTAACCATATGATTTTTCATTTTCTTTTTGTTGATGTGTTGAATTACATTAATTGATTTTCAGAAATTGAACCACCCTTGTGTCTCTGGAATAAATCCCAAATGGTCATAGTGTATTATCCTTTTGATTTGTTATTGTATCAGTTTGCTAGTGTTTTGCATCGTGTTCAGACAATTAGGGAGATTGTCCTGTATTTTTCTTTTTTGTGTGTTGTCTCTGTTGGTAAAATGTATTTGGTAGTATTCCTTCTTTCTCAATTTTTTGGAAGAGGTTTTGTAGGATAGGCACCAGTTCATCTTTGAACATTTGTTTAGAACTCACTTGTGAAACCACCTGGACCTGGGCTTTTGTTTTGGGGGAGGGTTTTGATTAAAATTTTCAATTTCATTACTTGTAATTGGTTTGTTTAGGTTTTCTGTTTCTTCTTTGTTCTGCTTTGGATGATTATATACAAAGAATATGTCCAACTCTTCTAGATTATTGAGCTAGTTTGCATGTAAGTGTTCATAGTAATCTCTACTTATTCTCTGGATGTCTGCTGTGCTATTGTAATTTTTCCTCTTTAATTTATGATTCTATTTATTTTAGTTTTCTTAATTTTTTTCTTTGTGAGCCTTGCTAGAGGTTTGTCTAGTTTGTTTAATTTTTTTGAAGAATCAGCTCTTGGTTTCATTGATTGATTGGATTGTCTTTTTTTTTTCTATTTCATTTATTTCTGCTTGAATTTTAGTATTTGCTTTCTTCTGCTGGCTTTTGGGTTTTTATTGTTCTTTTTCTGGTTATTTGAGAAGAGAGATTAGGTTTCTTCTTCTTGATGTGGGCCTGTTTTGCTGTATACTTTCCTCGTATTACTGCTTTTGCTGTGTCCCATACATTCTGTAAAGTTGTGTCCTCGTTATCATTTGTCTCAAGGTGTTTTTTAATTTCTTCTTTGATTTCCTCATTAATCCAGTCATTTTCTAGTAGTTTGGGGTTCAAACTCCATGAAATGGGAGGGTTCCTTGCTATCTTTTCATGGTTGAATTCTAGTTTGATACCTTTGTCATCCAAGAAGATGGTTGGTATGATTTCGATCTTCATGTATCTGTTGATGTTTATCTTGTGGTCCAGTATGTGGTCAGTCCTGGAGAATGATCCATTTGCACTTGAGAAAAATGTGTATTCAGATTTTTGTGAGTACAATGTCCTGTAGATGTCCTGTAGGCCCATGTTCTGTAGGCCAATGTCCTGTAGGTCCATGTGGTCTAGGTCTTTATTTAGGACTGTTGCATCCTTGTTTATTTTTTGTCTCTTTGATCTAGCCATTGGTGAGAATGAGTGTTGAAGTCTCCTACCATATATGTATTTTCTCTAATGTCTGTTTTGAGAGATGATAATATTTGTCAAGTGTTTTGGAGTTCGCTCATTTAGTGAGTATACATTGATGAGTGTTATGTCTTCCTGTTTTATTGTCCCCTTGATCATCATGTAGTGTCCTTCAGTGTCTTGTCACCTTTTTTTAGTTTGAAGTCTTTTTTATCTGCTATAAGTATGACTACTCCACCTTCTTTTGGGGTCCATTTGCTTATAGAATTGTTTTCCAACCCTTTACTTTAAATCTGTGTTTATCTGTTGCAGTTAGGTGTGTTTCCTGGAGACAGCAGAAGGTTGGATTCCGTTTCTATTACAGCCTACTACTCGAACCTGATGAGTTTAGTCCATTTAGGGTTATTATTGATATATGGTGATTATTGCCATTTTAAAATTTTTTTTTTAAAGATTTATTTATACAAGATCTGGGGTACAGGTCAGAGGCACAGAAGGGTGAGAGAATTCACCAGAGAGAGCGGGGAGCAGAACAGGCAGACGGACTGAAGACACTAGTGAGGGGAGCAGCAGGCGAGGCAGGAGAGGTCTGCCACACCGTATGGGTTTCTTTCTGGCTGGCTGGGAATTGAACCCACGCTGCAGAGGCTGCAGACAGCTTCACAGCACAGCACTCAACCTGCTGTGCCGCTGGGGAGGCTCCTGATTATTGCCATTTTGTTCATCATTTTGTGTTTTTACTCATTACCTTATTCTGTTCTTCCTATTCATTATTATTTTGGTTGCAATATTTTTTGGAGTGGGTTTGTAGTAAAGAATTTCTGAAGATTTTATTTGTCTGAGAAGGTCCTTATTTTTCCTTCATAGAGGAAGGAGAGAGAGCTTTGCAGGATAAAGTATTCTTGGCTGGCATTTTTGAGTTGGAGTTTGTTGAATATGTCACTCCATTCTCTTTTTGCCCATAGTGTTTTTTCATTCTTTTTCCACTGTACCTCTTTTCCTTTTCTTTTTTGATTCTTTTATTTGTATCTTCGAGAGTACTAATTCATTATTCCATTTATTTTCATGGCTCTTCCAGAATGCTTTAGTTCCTCTACTGATCTTTGAACATCCTGCAATTCCTTTATTTTCTTCTTTAAGATTCATTCTCCTTTGTTCGTTGGTTATATTACTCTCACCTTTTCCCTTTCTGCATTTTTTCTTAGCTCTTTAAGTGTTTTCATTGTGGCTATTCTGAATTCTTTATTTTTTTTTTTTTAAGATTTATTTATTTATTTATTTATTTATTTATACAAGCACTGGGTACAGTCAGAAGCGCGGGAGAGTGAGAGAATTCACCAGAGCCAGAGCGGGGAGCAGAGCAGGCAGAAGGACCGAAGTACACTGCTGAGGGGAGCAGCGGGCGGCAGGAGAGGTCTGCAAGCCATGTGGGACCCTCCTCCCGTGGCCGGGGAGCAGCCGGGGATTGAACCTGCGCTGCAGAGGCTGCTGGCAGCTTCGCAACCTAGCACTCAACCGCTGCGCCACCTGGGAGGCCCATATTCTGAATTCTTTATTTGTCAGACTGACATATTCTTCTCTGTTTGTGATGTTGGGTTCTGGAGGCTGACTTTCCTTCTGTGCTTATTATTCCCAGGAGGGCTTGCTTGATCGCTTGTATTTTTCTTTATTCCCATTGTTTGCCTACAATTAATTTTTAGTTATTAGTGTGATATATAGGGCAAGGTTTGCTTTTTTCCATACAGATGACCACTTGCTTCATCATTATTTACTTAAAGCATTGTGTTCTCACTGAATTGTTGCCTTTGACATAAACCAGATGATGGTACATGTGGTATATTTGTGAACTCTTTCTATTCCATGCTTCTGCTTATCTATCCTTCGCTGTCACTAGTGGGTTTTCTCAGGCACTATATTTACATTATTGTAAGTCTTGGAATCTGCTATCTGACTCCACCGACACTGCTCTTCAATATTGTTTTGGCCACTTCAAGTCTATTGTATATGTATTTTTTTATGTATTTTAGAGCAGATGGGTCAATTTTTTTTTTTAAAAACTGCTGGAATTTTGATAGCAACTGTATTGGTTCTATAAATCAATTTGGAGTGTGGAGATAACAGTCATGGGGGCTGCTCACTGATTCAGACACTTTCTAGTACTTGATAAAGAGGCAACTGGGACTGGGTAGTAGGAATCTAATATGTACTGATTAGGTTGATTTCATTTTAATATTTCTGTTGCCATTAACATTCTAGAATTATGGTACATTAAACAAGTTTTTAGCTGCGGTTTCCCTTATACCTTTAAAAATAAGTTGGCTTTTGTATCTGAAGCTTCAACTACTTCTCAGTTTGGGTTAAAAAATTACTTATGGCTTCAAGGTTAATTTGTCTTTATTGTGTGTGATGGTGTGGTTTCTAATCCATAGTCTTTATTTTAGAAATACATTTTGTTCACTTATATATTGCAATTAAGAATGCCTAGGGTGATAATGAAGTAATGCTTTCTTTTAAGTTTATTCAGTGCTAATTACATTTTCACTATACCTTTTCATGAGTTCACATATTCTCAATGTCAGCTCAAGTATTTAATTTTTAAAGTGTTTGGAATACAAGTTCTCTAGTTTCAGTTAGATTGATTTACATGAGCAAACTAGTTTTGAAATCTGTTTACTTTTTTTTCCCCAGAGACAAAAGGATCTGTCCTGATCGACACCACATTAATCCAGAATTAGACATGCCAAGGAAGTTTTCAAACCAAGCTCTACCAACATCTGGATATATTAGAGTATGTTCTGTTAAATATCATTTTGTTGAATGATTAATGGTCATTTTAATCACTATCTTTCATTTTTTAAACAGCAGAATCTTAATAGAATGTGTTATGACCCCCAGTGTTCAGTATTAATGTACCATTGGGTGTTTGGCAATAAGCACAGGTCCTTATAAGATGCCTTATTTTAGGGCTCCAGTTTACTCAGAAAACCAAGATCAAATTGGGAAAATGGATGAATCACTTCATCAATTTAGGGATTTTTAGTTATATTTTCAGAAAGTAACTGATTGGGGACTCAAAAACAACCCAGTCAAAAAATGGGCAAAAGAACTTAAAAACCACCACTTCTCCAAAGGAGAAATGCAAATGGCCAACGGGCATATGAAAAATGTTCAGCATCACTAGTTATCAGGGACATGCAAATCAAAACCACAGTGAGATACCACCTCACTCCAGTAAGAATGGCCCACATTGAAAAACAGGAAACAAGTGCTGGAGAAGATGTGGAGATAAAGGAACCCTCTTACACTGCTGGTGGGAATGTAAACTGGTCCAACCACTACGGAAAGCTATGTGGAGGCTCCTCAGAACACTAAAAATGGATCTACCATATGATCCAGTGTTTCTACTCCTAGGAGTCTACCCATAAGACCGAAAAACAGTAATTGAAAAGGAAACCTGCACTCCTATGTTTGCTGCAGCACTATTTACAATAGCTAAGATATGGAAACAACCCAAATGCCCCAAAATAGACAAATGGGGTTTATGCCCATTTAGACATTGGTCAATGCCCAAATAGACAAAAAGTTGGGTTTTATTTATATAATGGAATATTATTTGACAACCAAAAAGGATAAACTGATGCCATTTGTGGCAATATGGATGGAGCTGGAAAGGATTATGTTAGCTGAAATTAGTCAGAAGGAAAAAGATAAACACCACATGGTATTTATTCTGGATATTCTTTGCCAGACAGACAGACAGAGGTATCTTGCAAATATTTTCTCCCACTTGAAAAGTAAAAGTTTTTATTTTGATAGAATATACATTATTACTTTTTCATTTTATATTTTGTGTTGTCCATGCCATAAAAAACTTTGCCCATCCTAGAGTCCCAAAGATTTTTTCCGACTTGCTTTCTCAAATTTATATATATACTTTAGATCATTCTTCCTTTTTGTATAATGCATGTTTTCTCCTCTCAGGTGTAATCTCCATAAAATTCTCACCACCAGTTTGCCCATGCACCATCACCATAGTCCCTTGTGTTCTTCCCTCCCCTGGTTTTTTATTTATTTATTTATTTATGTAAGCAGTGGGTACAGTCAGAAGCGCAGGAGGGCAAGAGAATTCACCAGAGTCAAGGGCAGAGAGCAGAGCAGGCAGACAAAGTACACTGCTGAGGAGAGCAGCGGGCATCAGGAGAGGGCGTCAGGAGAGGTCTGCGTGCCATGTGGGACCCTCGCCCGGTGGCCGGGGATCGAACCAGAGTTGTGGAGGCTGCGGGCAGCTTCGCAACCCAGCGCTCAACCGCTGCACCACTAGGCTTCCCTGCCCTGTTTTGATCCCTCTCTTCCCCACTCCCCTGCAGAGTATCTCTGATTAATATTTGCCTATTAATTTTGTTTTTTAATTTATTGTAATTTTTTTCCCTGATCCCTTATTTGGTTACCTTAGATTCCTCCTATAAGTGAAACCATCTGATTTTTTTTTAATAATAAATTTTATTTTTATATTCCCCATACAATTGCATCCCCCCCATTCTGACCCCAATCCCTCCCCTCCCACCCCCCAAAAAGTGTCTCTGGTTCATAGTTTTTTGTTGATTTTGATTTTCTTATAGTTATTCATTTTCCTGGTCCCTTATTTAAGTTTTCTAGATTCCTGCTATGAGTGAGCCATCCGGTATTTTTCTTTTTCTTTCTGGCTTATTTCGCTGAGCATGATCCCTTCCAGCGCCATCCATGTTGCTGCAAATTGCATGTGTTTATCTTTTTTGAATGCTGAGTAATATTCCATGGTATATATGTACCACATCTTCTTGATCCAGTCATCTATTTTTGGGCATTTGGGCTGTTTCCAAAGCTTAGCTATTGTAAATAGTGCTGCTATAAACATAGGGGTGCAGGTGCTCTTTGGAACTGATGTTTCTGTGTCCTTTGGGTAAATACCTAGGAGTGGAATTGCTGGATCATATGGAAGCTCTATGTTTAGTAGGTCCAGAAATCTCCACACAGGTCTCCATAGTGGAAACCATCTTTTTTTTTTTCTTTTTCTTTCTGGCTTATTTCTCTGAGCATAATTCCTTCTAGCTCCATCATGTTGCTGTGAATGGCATGAGTTTATCTTTTTTGATTGTTGAATAGTATCCCATTGTGTATATAGACCACATCTTCTTGATCTAGTCATCTATTTTTGGGCATTTGAGTTGTCTCCATATTTTACCCATTGGTGCAGATATCATTTTGAATTAATGTTTTTGTGTCCTTTGGGTAGAGCCCTAGGAATGGAATTGCTGGGTCATATGGAAGCTCCATTTTTAGTAGTATAAAGAACTTCTCTGCACCTTTCCATAGTGGTTGGACCAGTTTGCATTCCTACCAGCAATGTAGGAGAGTTCCTTTTTCTCCACATCCTCACTAATACTTGTTATTTCCTGTTTTTTTAATATGTGCCATTCTCGCAGGTGTAAGGTGGTATCTCATTGTGGTTTTGATTTGCATTTCCCTGATTAAAGTGATGTTGAACATTTTTTCATATTCCTGTTGGCCATTTGCATTTCCTCTTTGGAGATGTGTCTTTTTAGCTCTTCTACCCATTTTTTTCACTGGATTGTTTACTTTGTTTTTGTTGAGTCAGGTTAGCTCTGTAGATCTTTGTGATCATTCTCTTATCAGTAGTATTGTATGCAAAAATTTTTCCCAATCAGTAGGGTGTCTCTTTGTTTCGGTTAATATTCTTTTTGTTTTACAGAAGCTTTTTAATTTCCTGTAGTCCCAGCTGTTCATCTTTTCCTTTACTTTCTTTGCTTTGAGGGATGTGTCCTTGAAGATGTTACTGTGATGAATATCATGTAGTATTTTGCCTTTTTTTTTTCTCCTATATATTTTATGGTTTCAGATCTTTTATCCATTTTGAGTTGGCTTTTGTGCATGATGGGAGGTTGTAGTCTGGCCTCATTTTTTGCATGTAGCAATCCAGTTTTCCCAGCAACATTTATTGAAGGAACTGTCCTTTTTCCATTGCCTGTTCTTTGCACTTTTGTCAAAGATTAATTGTCCATAAATATGTGGGTTTATTTCTAAGTTTTCTATTCAATTTCATTGGTCTGTGTGTCTGTTTTTGTTCCAGTTTTAATTATTATGGCTTTGTAGTATAGTTTGAAGTCTGGGAGTGTGATACCTCCATTCTCCCACCTATTGGTCAGGAGAACTTTGGCTATTTGAAGTTTTTTGTGGTTTCATATGAATTTCATCAATATTTGTTCTATCGTTAAAGAATGTCTTTGAAATCTTTATTGAAATAGTGTTGAATCTGTAAATTGCTTTTGGTAGGATGGCCATTTTGATCATGTTAATTCTTCCAATCCATGAGCAGGGGATGTCTTTGCATTTCTTTGTGTCTTATTCTGTTTCTTTTAACAATGTGTTATAATTTTCTTCATATAGGTCTTTCACCTCTTTTGTTAGGTTTATTCCCAAGTATTTGATTTTTTTTGTTTCAATTATAAAAGGAATGGTTTTCTTGATTTCTTCTGATTGTTTGCTATATATTGTATGCTTCTGATTGTTTCCTATATAGGAAGGCTACTGATTTGCTTGTGTTGATTTTGTATCCTGCTGCTTTACTAAACTGGTTGATTATGTACTTGAGCTTGGAGTTTTTATGGTTCTTTATTTATATTATCATATCATCTGCAAATAGTGATAGTTTCACTTCTTTCCCTATTTGGAGTCCTTGTATGTCTTGTCTTACTGCCCTGGCTAGGACCTCCAGTATTATACTGAAGAGCAATGGTGAGAGAGGACATCCTTGTCTTGTTCCTGATCTTAAAGGAAAGGCCTTCAGCTTTTCGTCATTGAAAATAATATTGGCAGTGGGTTTGTCATATACAGCTTTTATCATGTTAAGATACAGTTTATCTTACATCATAAGTATTTCGAGGGCCTTCATCATAAATGGATATTGAACTTTGTCACATGTTCTCAGCATCTATTAATATGATCATACGGTTTTTATTTTTCTTTTTGTTGATGTGTTGGATTACACTTACTGATTTTCATGTGTTGAACCATCCTTAGGCTCCTGGAATAAATCACCCTTGATCGCGGTGTACTATCCCTTTGATGCATTGTTGGATTCTGTTGGCAAGGATTTTGTGGAGGATTTTTGCATCAGTGTTCATTAGGAAGATTGCTCTGTAGTTTTCCTTTTTTGCATTGTCTTTGGTTTTGGTATTAGTGTAATGTTGGCTTCGTAGAATGTATTTGGTAGTAGTCCTTTTTAATTTTTTGAAAGAGTTTGTGTAGGATAGGCACTAGTTCACTGCTGAATATTTGGTAGAATTCATTTGTGAAGCTGTCTGGGCCTGGGCTTTTGTTTTGGGGGAGTGCTTTGATAACTGCCTCAATTTCGCTGCTTGTAATTGGTCTGTTTAGGTGTTCTATTTATTCTTTGTCCAGCTTTGGAAGATTATATCGTTCTAGGAATTTGTCTATCTCTTCTAGGTTGTTGAATTTGTTTGCATATAAGTGTTCATAGTAATCTCTGATTATTCTTTTTATTTCCACTTAGTCTGTTGTGATTCTCCTCTTTCATTTATAATCCGATTTATGTGTGTTTTCTCCCGTTTTTTCTTTGTGAGCCTGGCTAGAGGTTTGTCTATTTTGTTTATTTTTTCAGAGAACCAACTTTTGGTTTCATTGATCTTTTGGATTGTTTTTTTTTAATTTCTATTTCATTTATTTCTGCTTTGATTTTTATTATTTCTTTCTACTGGTGTTAGGGTTTCT